AAGTTGTCACAAGGATGTTTCATTGAGTATAATAATGCTTACCTATACCTATATGAAGACATAAAATTATCCGAAAAGGTACACAGGTTTGTTATTAAGATGTTTTATTGAGTAAATCACTGCTTTATTATTATGAATGCATAAAATTTTCCCAAGAAAGGCACAAACCCTTTTATTACTTTTGGAGATACCAGCTTACAATTCGAAAAAGGGGCACGATTATGCAACAAAGCAAATCAGAGTTATGGGACTTGTGCCAATCATGTAAGATAATCGCAGAGAACAAGTTTGTGAAGTTTTAATCCATTCCCTTCAGTAGTACTTTATTGAGATACCAGCTGACACACAAAACATTAACCAAGAATTTCTATGTTGAAAAAGGGGTATAGTCAGGCAAAAAAGCAAATCAGAGTTATGGGACTTGTGCCAAATCATGTTAGATAATCACAGAGAACAAGTGTGTGAAGATTCAATTCATTCTCTTCAGTAGTTATGGGGATACCAGCTTACACGTAAAATCATAACCAAGAAGTTCTAAGTCGAAAAAATGGCTTAATTATGCAAAAAAGCAAATCAGGGTTATTAGACTTGTGCCAATCATGTTTCATAATCACAGAGAACAAGTGTGTGAAGTTTGAATTCATTCTCTTTAGTATTGAGGGAGATACTTGCTTACACACAAAAATTTAACCACAGGGACGCCAACACCAACAAATTGGTGACTGCATTAGCTCGATTATTCTGCGAATAGTCGAGCGAAAAACAGTATCTTACAATGTCATATTAAGTAAAATAGTAATGAAAATATGGACTTAATACAGTATATACACTTTTGTAAGTACAAATACAGTATCTGACAAAGTCGCAAGTAAAATAGTATTCTAACACAACCTGCATTTGTCACTATTGAACATAGTAAGACCAAAAGTGTGTGTTATTATTCAATAAAATCACCGTTGACGTTCTATATTTAGACATGTGACGTAACTATTTAACATGTGACTTAACCAGTAAAAATGCAACACCCTGAAAATATGTATGGAAATTTTGCTTAATATCAGGTACAGCAGCATTTATTTGTTGATGTCGTGTTAGAAACGAAATATCTTACAAAGTCATAAGTTATTAACAACAATCTACACCAATAACATAAATACAGTCTAACAAAAATTTTAACAGTAATCAACATAGTAAGTTAATTTGAATATAATCTTATAAAGGCTATGCAGTTATTCACAGTACACAAAACTATGAATGGGGTCATAGTTACTGGCATTCTAAAAACACAAACTGTTCTTAAAGTGACATTATGCCAATCTTAAGGTATATAATGAGTGAACAGGTGAGTCAAAATAAATTTTTATTTTGCCATAATTCCGTTTAATTTAATAATTTACTTCGCATAAACAATAAATAACCACCGGATTCATACAAAATTTCAGTAAATATAATTTAGAATCTACCTGTAACGTTCAATTTATAAAGAGTGGGGCAGTCTTTTTATATTTTAGACAGATTTTGAATTTTATCCTAAACATTTTCCAATATAAAATGTTGGTCAAACATCATTTAAACAGTCAATCTCTTGAAATATATAGTCAATTCAGCTCAACTTGACAATGAAAGTATGAGCATAATGTCACTTTAAAAGTCCTTACAGATATGTTTTGAATCAAAGCACAAAGCCAACTTACAAATTGAAATTTTAACAGTTATTGACATAAAAAAGTGCTATGTGATCATAATGAAGGAATGTAAATATAATGCTTGAAATGCCCATTATTATTGAGGATGCAATACATGCACAACAGACAAAGAGCGATCAAAAAGCTAACAATACCTAAAAGGGTCTGGTAAGTTGAAAACATTTGACTGTATAAATTAAGTATTTACACAATCATATTAACTTTAAGATTCACATGGGTTTTTCTTCTAAAAAACTGATTGGAATCTATTACAAAAGAACTAATGTTTTAGATATCTACATAAATGCTTTGTTACATTTTAACAGCCATTTGACTAAACACGACATTTTGGGAAGTGCCTCATGGGTTACGTAATACAATTATTTGCAACATATTACGTTTTTGATATAGAGTACCCAAAGTCCTTTAGGCTTTCTACATCAGTTAATATTTAGGGGAACAGTTTACCAATGAAAGTTCTAAGAAATTTAAGTTCATGTATTGAATTCCTATTTTCTTATAAATCCACCTCGGCCAAAACATTTGAAGAGATTTACATCATATCACGCTAGGGGGCGTGAGGGATGTTGGACTTATTCATTATCCATCATGTACAGACTCAATCAAACCGAGTCTGCTATTTTCATGTTATTTTGTTGTGATTAATGCTTCTGAGGGATCACTTTGTTTCCAGATTTCAAAAACTCAATATCAATATTTTTTTACTTGTCCATCGGGCAAGTAAACTTTCCGAAGCAAAAAATGGTTGTCTCGGGCAAAAGGACAACCACTAATTTTGTAGACTGGTTTTAATAATTTTCGAAACTTATTTAACATCCATTAATTTAAGTTTTAAAGGCAAATGCTTACATATGTTCTATCTTTAAAACAAGGCACAAGGTCCACTGTCTCTTCGGCTTGGAGCTCCTGTAATTAATAATGAAAATGTAGGCATCCAGCTTGCACAATTTGAAATTACTAAATATTCTAATTAACATATACTGCTAACTAGTGTTAGGTATCGGACTCAAAAATCATTATCGATAAATGGACCACAACAATCGATTGTCTGTCGATAGTATAATCGAGTTTTGCATTGTTTATGGCTCTTTTTTTAAAGGTACCAATCCTTGTAAGTATTTTTATACATTAGTGACACCATTTTGAGAATAAATAAACTCTTGTCTCCAAGATAAAAGTAAGATTTACTCTTTGAATTAAAAAAAAACAAACACAAATACGTAATACAACATTGTGACAGTCCATTTTTGTAAATTTAAACAACTTTATCAATATTAGTACCAGTCAACAGGTCAAAATATTGTAGGTCACTAATTTAACTACAGTAACAGTAGATATGTAAGTTAAAATGTTATGTTATTACACACTATAATTTTCTAAAGTAGTATTAACCATGTTAAATAGGTTTTGAAAAATTAGACGAATTCTATTATTTACATTGTAAATGTGAATGTGCACATACTTTTATACTGGTCTGTCTTATGCTCCTGTTGTGTTTTCTGTTTTATATGCAAGTAAATTTGCATGGTCAAGTAGTTTTTGTCAAGTATGTTTACGAACCGATTCAGGGTGTTAACTATCAAACTCCCTGATTAAAAAGTTGAAGGTGTCGTTTAAATTATGCTCAATTAATTACAATGCCGTAGATGTACATTGGCGACTGCATATCGTGTTAATTGCAGTCCATTTTCAGCAGTAAATTTCAATGGTTAAAATATATGCCCAAGGAAAGGATTAAATTTATTGTGCTAAGTAAAGATTTATACATGCTGCAAGTAAAAATGCGCGGCAAAGAAAAATTAGCTTTGATGTCAAGCAACAAATTCGTTCCTTTATTCACTAGTCATGTTTTTTTTCTGTATTTCTTTTTTTGATAAGGCAAACAAAAAGACTTTTAGCATCGTCTGGAATTAAAGAGATTTGGTCGGGAAACCTTTATTTGACCGCATGTTAAAAAGTTCCGCACTAAGCAATTCATCGGATGATAGTACACTTAAATAATCAATTTTTAAAAAGGACTATCGATTGTCACCGATTTTGGGATGGTCCGATTAGTTTTCGATTTTCAGAGACAATCAGGACAACATTACTGCTAACCATTTTAAACTTTCAATTTCTTAAAATGTTAAAACTGTAACGTTTGTATCAGTTGAATTTGAATTATTATGTATAATTTAACTTTTAAGTATTTTTGTTTTAAATACCCTGTTTACAAACTCTTCATGTTAAATTTAAAATGAGTGTCCCTGAGATAGAATAGATTAATACAGAACCCCTTAAGAAAGCCCAACACGGCAAAATTGAAAATGTTGCAGGCTCGGTTTGATTGAGCCTGTTCATGGACGGTACTGGAAAGTGCAAGTTACCGTCCACGCCCCCTAGCACCTAGAACCTAGAACTTCTGAAATGTATTAATCATTTCTTAACTGATTTTAGTAGCTGAAATAGTAAAACTCTAAAATCTTACTAACTTTTCCCGAAGGTCTATAAGACCTCAAGTCTCAAATTCCTAGGGAAAACCCTAAATGGGTAAAAGATATCAAATTCATAAAGTCTAGCTGCCCATTGTTTTCTCGTTTAGGGCACACGCTTTTTATTACATGCGGACCATACGCCGCTTTTCATGGAATGGCACGGAAGTGTCACATAGAAGGTTCCATGATAACCGCCGTATGAGCACATCTGCGGATGTTTCTAAATTCAAAATTTTACTATTTCACGTTTAAATGTTGAATTCTGCTTAAGCCGGTGCTAGGGGGCGTGGACGGTAATTTGCACTTTCCAGTACCGTCCATGAACAGGCTCAATCAAACCGAGCCTGCAACATTTTCAATTTTGCCGTGTTGGGCTTTCTTTAGGGATTCTGTATTTATCTTTTTTTTGTAATTACAATCAAAGCAATTACCTTCCTTGGATGGTCTGTAGTTTGGACAGTATCTGCCAGATAATAACAGCTTATTTCTATCTACCAAAATGGCGTCGTATCACTCAATTCCGGACTAACCTCACTAGTTCCGGTATGCTCGGAACTACTGCTTCCGGTACGCCCGTCAGCCTTCGTTAACTTCCGGAACCTTTACCATACGGTACTACACTCCTCCCCGTCCTATTCTTTAGGAGGAAACTGTAGCTCACGGAAGTTAACCCATCGCAGACGCCTCTCTAGTCCAAGGGCAGACTAGAGCTTCCCGGATTCAAACCGGTACTGGTACTCGGCCAAGTGCCAGAGGGCTGGACAACAGGACCTACCTGACCGGACCGTACCCCTTCCAGCCAGGACGCTACTCCAAGTACTCAATCGGAGGCAGGGGCCTTCCGATCGAGATACAGACGTTCTGCATTAGCATTGGTCTGCTGCAGAACATCCCGCCAATCACGGTGTGTCAGCTGGGCGACACAGGCAGCTGCCGTTCCGATCAAAGCCGGAGTCGAACGTTTATACCCCTGTGGTGCAAAGTACGGCGCATCAGTCTCCAGTAACATTCGGCTGGGCTGAATGTCACAGACAGCAGCAATCTGGTCAGGATTCGACGGCTTGAACAGTCTTACCATGGAGGTAAACCCAAAATAAGTATTTGGGAACTGCTCAATCCAACGATTTTTAATTTAGATAATCCTTATTTTGATCTAATGGTGTCTGACATTTATCCGCATGAACTACAACTTAATAATCTTAATAACTTAACTTAATCCGAGCCTGCAACATTTTCAATTTTGCCGTTTTGGTCTTTCTTTAGGGATTCTGTATTTATCTATTTTATGATCACATCCGTGTTATTTGTGCCGTGTGTTGGCTGTAAAAAGTCTCCCCGTACATTTAATCAATGATGTTATATTTTCGATCCTTGAAGATCGTTCAGCACGACATTATTGTTGTGCTTGTGGTAATTTTAGTTTCACCTTTTCGGCATTTTCTAGTTGGGTGGTTCCAATATTCCTACTTGAATAATGTTGAATCACCATTAGGATATGTTGCCTGCTTTTTAAATTTGTCTTTTGACGTCTTATCTGTAATACGCAGGCTTCATAACCTCTGATCCCCTTTCAAAATTCCATTTTATTTAGTTCCGCCCATTGTTTTCTCGTTTAGGGCACACACTTTTCATAACTTGGGGACCTTACGCCGCTTTTCATGGAATGGCACTGAAGTGTCACATTGAAGGTTCCATGATAACCGCCGTATGAACACATCTGCGGATGTTTCTAAATTCAAAATTTTACTACTTGTTTAAATTTTGAATTCTGCTTAAGCCGGTGCTAGGGGGCGTGGACGGTAACTTGCACTTTCCAGTACCGTCAATGAACAGGCTCAATCAAACCGAGCCTGCAACATTTTCAATTTTGCCGTGCTGGTCTTTCTTTAGGGATTCTGTATTTATCTATTTAATAAAAATCTGGAAGCAAAGTGATCCCTCGGAAGCATTAATCACAACAAAATTACATAAGAATTGCAGACTCGGTTTGATTGAGTCTGTACATGAGGGATAATGAATAAGTGCAACATCCCTCACGCCCCCTAGCACCGGCTTGGGCGGTACTCAATTCTCAACACTCAATAGTGCCCAACGAACTCTTGAAATTTAAGTACATCATTTATGGATCTTCATATTTCTATCAACAACAATTCTATTCACACAAAAATCTATGATAAAAGAGATGACTTTGACTTTTGTATAGTCAATTATCCACATTTAGATGGAGACGGTACTACCATGCAACATCTTACGGGGTTTATGTTTCTCAGTTAATTAGATTCGCTAGAGCTTGTAGCAACGTAAAGGATTTCAACGAGCGGAATATTTTTATTACCAGCAAGCTTCTAAAACAGGGCTACCGCTATCATAGATTACGGAAATATTTTACTAAATTTTACAATCGTAACTTTGATTTAATTTCTAAATTCAATAGTGATTTAAAAACTCTTCTGCGACAAGGGATTAGCAAGCCTGGTTTTTATGGCGATGTGATTTACAAACTTCGTAAGATTTTGGATCATGGTAATTTTTCTGCTGTTTTTACTAAAATCATTAAACGTTTTATTAAAAGAGGTTATGACCCATACTGCATGTTTAGTGTTCAACCCTTTTACAGTTGAACACTACGCTTTCCTCTTTCGATTGCATCTGACGGACCAAGTGGGAGACTCTATGATGGATAGTTCGTAAAGCCCTATGGGACTGAATTGTCTTAATGTTCGTCTTCTTAATTGTTGTATCTTCCCCATTGCCTCTAGTTTTTTTATTTCTTTAATTAACCCCCCCCCCTTTCCCCGGTCTCCCGTCCCCTTCCATTTTGTGAACCTATTATTATTTTCTTTGAATTCCTAATCAGTTACAAATTATTTATCATTTAATGATTAACCTGTCCGTGCTCGTTGTGGGTATATTATTCTTTTCTTTTAATTCCTAATCAGTTACAAATTATTTATCATAATTATTTATCATTTAATGATTAACCCGTCCGTGCTCTGTCTTTGCCCTGTCCTGTTTTTGTTTGGGGTCCGCCTGGGTTCCTTGCCACTGGTTCTTGTTGCTAGGTCATATGGGGGTTGTGTTCATTGAACGCCGCCTTTCCTTGTTGATCTTGTTTATCATATTTTCTGCCTTGCTTCGTCGGGCCCTTGTAAGTGATTTTCTTGTTGCTCTGTCTTCTTTTAGGACATTGAGTACTTTTGTTATGGTCATTGGGTTTACTTTTATATGTTTCTACATGATCATTTTAGTGTTTTACTTATTTAACCTTTTGTAACCATGACAACTGTTAGAATTTCACTTGGCGGGGATTCATTTTATTTACACTGTCTCGTTTATAGGAACATGGTGGGGCTAAGAGCGAGGTTTGGTGCACCATTAACCGGTTTAAACTCCCCAGCAGTCATTATTATGCTGCTGACCGTTCCAAGGCGGCGCCCCACTGTGTTCCTCAGATGTATGTCTATGTTGTTTCATACTGTTTTGGTGACACTTTTGCATGTGTCCCTTGTTGTTTTCTCGTCTACGGTCAGTATCTTCCCCATTACCTCTAGTTTTTATTTCTTTGATTAACCCCCCCCCCGGTCTCCTGTCCCCTTCCCCTTTGTAGGCCTATTATTCTTTTCTTTGAATTCCTAATCAGTTACAAATTATTTATCTTTTAATGATTAACCTGTCCGTGCTCTGTCTTTGCCCTGTCCTGTTGTTGTTTGGGGTCCGTCTGGGCTCCTTGCCATTGTTTCTTGTTGCTGGGTCATATGGGGGTTGCGTTCATTGAACGCCGCCTTTCCTTGTTGATCTTGTTTATCATATTTTTTGGTACCAGAGAAGCAGTGGAGATGTATCAACTGCTCCCTCTGTACCTTTGGCTGGCTCGCTAGTTGGTACATTAGGGACAAGATGGCCTCATCCCCAACTTCCAACATGCTGCGCGCATGCAACAGTAGAATATGCTCAGGTTTGAGCAAGTTCAAGACCCTCTCCAAGCCCAAAATCCGGTTGGACCAGGTATCAGGCTTGATAGTGTGGTCCACTCCAACCTCACCAAGGCCGGCAACATTTGGATTTTCCAAAATCTTGGCCAAGCGCTCTAACCTCTTGTCCGTAACATCCGCCTTGGGATGGATGCCACAGACAACGACAATCCCTTCATCGACCCAGGATTGGATAAGTGAATCCGAAGGATAGTTGTCAGGGACACAGCAAATGGTTGCTGCTCCCGTGACTTTGACCTCGAATTCATCACCCCGAGCCTTCCCGGCACAAACGGCAGCCAATGATGGAATAGACAAGGCCATATTCCCCCCTGTCCTATCCAAATGACAATGGCTGTCAAATGCCTTCGGGACACTCAGAATGTGTTCCTTCTCTTCAGGAGACAGTTCAAACAGTGGGAGACTCTATGATGGATTGTTCGTAAAGCCCTTTGGAACTGAATTGTCTTAATGTTCGTCTTCTGCCTTGCTTCGTCGGGCCCTTGTAGGTGATTTTCTTGTTGCTCTGTCTTCCTTTAGGACAATGCATACTTTTGTTATGGTCATTGGGTTTACTCTTATATGTTTCTACATGATCATTTTAGTGTTTTACTTATTTAACCTTTTGTAACCATGACAACTGTTAGAATTTCACTTGGCGGGGATTCATTTTGTTTATAGGAACATGGTGGGGCTAAGAGCGAGGTTTGGTGCACCATTAACCGGTTTAAACTCCCCAGTAGTCATTAGTATGCTGCTGACCGTTCCAAGGCGGCGCCCCACTGTGTTCCTCAGATGTATGTCTATGTTGTTTCATACTGTTTTGGTGACACTTTTGCTTGTTTCCCTTAATGTTTTCTCGTCTACGGTAAGTGTCTTCCCCATTGCCTTTAGTTTTTATTTCTTTGATTAACCCCCCCCCCCCCTTTCCCCCGATATTTTTTAACCGCCTCCGTGGTCGAGGGGTTAGAGTCAATGACTTCTAATCCATTTACCTTTCTGGCGTGGGTTCGATCCCCGGGAGATGCTTTGGTAGTTTAGCGCGGCGGAAGGTAGTCTAGTACTGGTGTAAAATAACAAGAATAAAGACCAACAAGGCAAAGGCAACGTTCACAGGACGCCGCCCCCCGCACACACCCAAGCAGGACACCCAGAAGGCACCAAACAAGTACCTGAAGTCACAACACTGGCGTATGACCTCGGGGCGGAAGACTGTGTTATGGTCCCAGTCTCCGACGATGGAGGGGCTGCTGTGGCTACAAGAGTTAGAGGGTCCTCTAACTCCATTGCCTCAGCCCAGGACTTCCTTAGGGAGCTAGCCCTGACTGGCTTTGGCTTGAGAGGTGAACGGGGTGGACTGGCCAGCAACTTCCTCTCATCCCCAGACTCCACTTCTACCTCCATGTCGAACTCGTCCAACAGGGCGATGGACTCTGATGACGTGTGGGATTTGGCCCAACAGTCAGAGCGAATCACCTGGATTGAAGGGTCAATAGCCAGGCGAATGTCTTTGGAGGTCCCTGTTGGCTCTTCCTTCCACATCAGCTTTTTGGTAGCTGGCAATTCATGGACGTATTGGCTGATCCATGAATGGCTATGGAACTGGAGTTTGTCCAATTCCCTGACCAGACCTCTGGCTCAGCCCTTCTTCTTGGACCTCTTGGATAGGTCATTTGACCCAACAAAGCCTCAATATCTTTGGGCCTTGTCAGGTAGGACAGTTACCAAAACTGGGCTAACTCGAGGGCGGAATCTTTGCCGCTTTCCTGTGTAGCGGACAGGATCTTCTCTGCAGACATTCTGTAATGACACAAAAAATCAAATGGTTGGTTATGTATCAGCCCTCTTAGAGCGTTTAATACAATCCTTACTCTTATATAAATTTATGTCAAAAGCTTCAGTCTGCGTGATATCAACGCAAGAACCGTGGTACCACTCTTGACAGTGATCACATTGGATCATGCAGTCGCTCGCTTAGCATCACTGGGGTGTTCTTGAAACACCTTTATCCAGCGAGGTAAATCCCTATCCCTGCAAGGTTTAACACGGTCGTGATTTACTACGAAGACCGCATTACGGAGCTTTACTCTAAAATGGTAAGAGGAAAGCTTAGAGACAATAACCCCCGGGCCTTTCCAAGGAGGAGATAATTTCTTACATTTGCCTTTCACTGTGGCAGTGTCGATTAAATAAACTGCATCTCCAACCTCGTAATTCCTCTCAAGGATGCGCAGATCATAATTACGCTTCATTCGATTTGAAGCGGTTTTCATATTTTATGATCACATCCGTGTTATTTGTGCCGTGTGGCGGCTGTAAAAAGTCGCCCCGTACATTTTATCAATGATGTTATATTTTCGATCCTTGAAGACCCTTCAGCACGACATTATTTTTGTGCTTGTGGTATTTTTAGTTTCAACTTTTTGGCATTTTCTAGTTGGGTGGTTCCAATATTCCTACTTGAATAATGTTGAATCACCCTTAGGATATGTTGCCTGCTTTTTAAATTTGTCTTTTGACGTCTTATCTGTGATACGCAGGCTTCATAACCTCTGATCCCCTTTCAAAATTCTATTTTATTTAGTTCCGCCCATTGTTTTCTCGTTTAGGGCACACGCTTTTTATTACTTGGGGACCATACGCCGCTTTTCATGGAATGGCACGGAAGTGTCACATTGAAGGTTCCATGATAACCGCCGTATGAACACATCTGTGGATGTTTCTAAATTCAAAATTCTACCCTTTCATATTTAAATGTTGAATTCTGCTTAAAGCCGGTGCTAGGGGGCGTGGACGGTAAAATAGATAAATACAGAATCCCCGAAGAAAGCCCAACACAACAAAATTGAAAATGTTGCAGGCTCGGTTTGATTGAGCCTGTTCATGGACGGTAGCTGGAAAGTGCAAGTTACCGTCCACGCCCCCTAGCACCGGCTTAAGCAGAATTCAACATTTAAACATGAAATAGTAAAATTTTGAATTTAGAAACATCCGCAGATGTGTTCATACGGCGGTTATCATGGAACCTTCAATGTGACACTTCTGTGCCATTCCATGAAAAGCGGCGTATGGTCCCCAAGTAATAAAAGGCGTAGTAACTTGCACTTTCCAGTACCGTCCATGAACAGGCTCAATCAAACCGAGCCTGCAACATTTTCAATTTTGCCGTGTTGGGCTTTCTTTAGGGATTCTTTATTTATCTATTTCATAGACTGGCGAGCTGTTTCATGGGCTTTCTCCATGGTAGAAAAAAAGCTCACGAACATAGTCATTTGGTGACTGCTCGTCACGATGTTTTGATGGAAACATCACGTCTGCCGGAGTATTTACCTCTCTACCCATCATCAGATGACCTTAATGCTCCAGCAATCTGCTTAAGGTGCAAGTCCCACTGTTTCTGGGATTTACCTATAAAACATAGGACAGCATCCATGAGAGTCCTGTAATACCTTATGGATCTCTAGAACCTTACACAACTCGCAAAACAACTTGGATTCGATGTTGCGACCCTGGTCAGAGAAGATCTCAAATGGCATACCAAATCTAGAGAAGAACTGATCGACAGCCGTGCGAGCAGATTCCTCGGCAGATTGACTTGGGACTGGTATGCACTCCACCCACTTGGTAAACTGGTCAACCATCATGAGTACGTGCTCATTACCCCTTGGTGTTTTTGGCAAAGGACCTAAGAAGTCTAAACGTACACGTTCCATTGGGGAGCCTGCCCTAAATTGGATTAAAGGACATTTCCCCTGATGTGCTGTTTTTTGTTTTGGTTGCACACAGCACAACCAGAAACATAACTAGCCACATCCTTACCAAGACTGTACCAAATAAACTTATCTTTTATTTGGGTCTTTTGTCCGAGACTCGCCCTGATGACCTGCCGATGGCAAATTATGATTCAAAGCGAGTGCTTCTTGCCTATAAACACCAAGTAACACAAGCCTCTTGTCATCAGTGTGTTTACCGTCCATGAACAGGCTCAATCAAACCGAGCCTGCAACATTTTCAATTTTGCCGTGTTGGGCTTTCTTTAGGAATTCCGTATATATCTATTTTATCAGTTTGATATAGCACACCGTCAATCAAGAGCATCGAATTCTTAGTTAACCAGTAATACTTGGTTGCTGGGTCATATGGGGGTTGCGTTCATTGAACGCCGCCTTTCCTTGTTGATCTTGTTTATCATTTTTGGTGCCTGGACTTGACTGAAACAGAGCTGAAGGGTCAGCTTCTGTCCCATCTCGTAACCAATCCAGTACAGGTTTCAACTCAGGATCACGGCTTTGGGCCTCCCTGAGTTCATCCACAGAAAAACCCCAACTTTGCGGGGCTTCACTGTCACTTGGCCTGTCCACTGGATTAGTAACCGTAGGAGAACTATCTTTCTCCTTATCTCCCACCTGATCAGAAGGCGTTGCATTGGTAGCAAGCTTTGATCTCCTGGTGGATACTATATTAATACTAGCAACATCATTCTTTCTATTACTTGGGGACCATACGCCGCTTTTCATGGAATGGCACGGAAGTGTCATGTTGAAGGTTCCATGATAACCGCCGTATGAACACATCTGCGGATGTTTCTAAATTCAAAATTTCACCATTTCATGTTTAAATGTTGAATTCTGCTTAAGCCGGTGCTAGGGGGCGTGGACGGTAACTTGCACTTTCCAGTACCGTCCATGAACAGGCTCAATCAAACCGAGCCTGCAACATTTTCAATTTTGCCGTGTTGGGCTTTCTTTAGGGATTCTGTATTTATCTATATCATCGCCTCTAGACATGCCATGCATGTCCCATGGGATATATTCCAAAGTTTGTGCTAGCATTAATACATCCCCGGGATCAGGAAGGGTCCTGATGTCCAAGGTTTGTTCTTCCTGGCAACCAACTCTCAACACAGATCTCACCTCTACTGAAGATTGGCCTTCAGGAAGACCCTGCTGACCATGTTCACCGACCCCAATGGTAAGGACCGGCTGGCCATTCGTACCCCCAATTTTTAAAAAAAAAAAAAATAAAGGGAAAACTTTTTCCCAAAAAAAAAATTTTAGACCAAAAAAAAAACCAAATATTTCCTTTTTAAAAAGACCCATTTTTCAAAAATAAAACCCCCAAGAAACCCCAAAAAAAAAAAAAGTTCCCGACCCCCCCAAAAAAAAAAAAAAAAAATTTTTTTTTTGAAAAATAAAAATTTTTGGGGGAAAAAAAAAAAAACAAAAAAAAAAAAAAGGAAAAAAACAAAAATTTTTTTACCAAAACCCAAAAAAAAAAAATTTTTTTTTCCCCAAAATTTCCCCCTTTTTTTTACATAAAACCCCAAAAAAAAAACTTAAAAAAAAGGTTTAAAAACCCTAGTTTTCAGAAAAAAAAAAAAAAAGTTTGGGAATTTCCGTTTCCATTAATGATTCCTTTTGCCCCCCAAAAAAACTGGGATGAGGTTTAAAAGGGGGTTTTTCCTAGTTTTTTTCGGGCAAAAGGGGGCCCTGCCCTTGGGAATTTTTTTTTTCCTTTTTTGAGTTCCTTTAACCCGACCCCCCAAAATTCATAGGATGATGGGTTTTTGAGCAGATGACCCTTTTTTTTTGGGTCATGTTAAAGGTCAAGGTCAAGTGCGTTTTTCCTTTTCCTTTGGTTTTTTCCCCAACCCCAAAATTTTTTTTATTGGCATGACAAAATTTTTTTTTGGGGGAAAGGGCAAAAGGTCAAGGCCCGGGGGTTTCATTTCCCGGATGATAACTAGGTTCCCTTTTGACCTAAGACCTAAAATTAGGAGATTGGTTTATTGAAAAAACCCTTTTTTTTTGGGAGGGCAAAAGGGAAGGTCAATTTACCGTTGGAAATTTTTTTTTTTTGGGAAAAATAAGTTTTTTTCCTAATTTCCCTTATAGGGGTTTTTTTGGCAAGTTAGTTTTTGGGGGGCGGTCAATTTTTTTTTCCGTTTTCAATTTCCTTTTCCAAATTTAAAATGGTTTTTGCCTCCCCTCAAAAATTTTAAAATTTTTTTTTTAAAAAAATACCCAAATTTTTTTAATTTAGTTAAATTTAAGGTAAGGCCCTTGGAATTTCCCCCCTTTTGGAGAAAAATTCCAATCAATCAAATTCTGGTAATTTTTTATTTAAAATGATCCCTTGTTTTTGGGGTAATTTAAAGGTTTTGGTCCAATGACTTGGGCTTTTTTTTTGGGTATAAAAGTTCAAGTTTAAAATTTTCTTTTATTTTTAATAGTTTTCTTTTTTTTTCCCTTTTTTGGGGCTTTGCGATACAAAAAAAAATTTTTTTGAATTTACTAGACAGTAGGGTTTTTGGGGAAAAATTTTTTGGAAAAGGTTTTTTTATTTTAAAAATTTTAATTAAATTAAATTTTTTAGGCGTATCTGGTTTTGGGGCAGACACAAATTTTTTTAACCTTTGTAAATTAATTAAAAAACCCAAAGGAATTTTTTTGACCCGCCTCCCAAATATTGTAACCGGTTTTTAAAATTAATTTTAAAAAAAAAAAATTTTAAAGTTTTAAACCTTTAAAAAAAAACCTCCA